GGACAATCAAAGTGCATGCTAATATACTGAAGTTTCTGGGAAGTCTTTTGGTGATTAGAGCCATTTAACTTTAAGATGGCATTTTCCAAACAACTGATTGGACAATGGCTCCCTTTGTTTGGACAACTAATGTCTTTAGTGACTTGAAGAAGTAGTATTCTTTTGAATAGTGTTTGAGAAATTCTGATTTATAACATTAATTATTTTAAAAAGTTATAAAACTCATATATCACATGATTGTATAATCATGTTTTTACTTGAAGAAATTATCTATTTTTGAATTCATGTGTATTTTAAAATGTAATACCCTTACAGTGTTTTTCTTTTCCACTCCAGATATTTCTGATTTTTCATTTTTTTCTGTCTTGATGGCAGAGATCCCAGGACCTGTCTTGCTACAACAGTAAGCTTGTATGGTAATTACAAGAACTAATGATGGAAAATTCACCAGTGGGAATAATAAATAGCATTGTTATGCTCAGAACATTATTTCTATGAGAAAATATGAACTAAGAAAAAATGAATTATTAGGTAGAAAGGCCATTACTTTACATTATTATAGAGGTCATTATTATACATTATATTTACATTTTAAAAAATGGCACAGAAGAAAGATTTGTAATCAGAAACAGTTTTATACATACAAACCTTAGAATCTTAGCATAGGAAGGGATGTTATCAGAGAAAATTTGATAGGATGTCATACCAACCCAAAAAATATGGAGACACTCATGGCTTTTCCTGGTTAATTCTTTAAAGAGTCTGGAAAAGAAATTTCTTGATTTGAGTTATCCCAGTGTCACATTTCATAAGATTATAAAGCGTGCTGGAAATTATAAAGAGTTTAGGAACCTCAGAAGCAGTCTTCTTGGGCTTCCCTGGTGGCCAAGTGGTTAAGAATCCGCCTGGCAATGCAGGGGACACTGGTAGGATCTCCCGTCCAGGAAGCTCCCACGCGTCGCGGGACGACTTGGCCCAAAGGCCACAGATGCTGAGCCTGCACTGCGGAGGCCCGGAGCCGCAGCGGCTGAGCCCACGTCCCAGGGCCTGCGCTCCCCCACGGGGGAGCAGTCTGCACACGGCGGCTAGAGAGTGGTCCCCACTCTCTACAGCTAGTGAAAGGGAAAGCGGAGTCGCTCAGTCGTCCGACTCCTTGCGACCCCATGTACTGTAGCCCGCTCCTCAGTCCATGGAATTTCTCAGGCAAGAATGCTGGAGCGGGTTGCCATTTCTTTCTCCAGGGGATCTTCCCGGCCCAGGGATCGAACCCAGGCCTCCCGCATTGCGGGCAGACGCTTTACCCTCTGAGCCACCAGGGAATCCCCCACAAGAGAGCTAGAGAAAGCCTGGGCACAGCAACCAAGACCCAGCATCGCCAAAAACATAAATAAAAAACAAACAAACAAACAAAAACCCCACAGAAAACCAACCTTCTTACCTCAAAGAAAGGCAGCCCAACTTCAAAAAAGTTAAGGATTAAAAAAAACCCAGATATTACAAATCAATAATTGAAAATCTGGAGATAAAGATATCCTGACTCTAGGTTTATGATTCATTCTACTATCTAAAAAGTGATTCATAAATTATTCACACTGTTGTTTGTTGTTGTTTAGCCACTGTCATGTCTGAGTCTTTGCGACCCCATGGATTGTAGCCAGGCTCCTCTGTCCGTGGGGTTTCCCAGGCAAGGATACTGGAGTGGGTTACCATTTCCTTCTCCAGGGGATCTTCCCGACCCAGGAATTGAACCTGCGTCTCCTGCATTGGCGGGCGGATTCTTTACCACAGACCACCTGGGAAGCCCCCATAAACTATTCATTTGTGCGTATGCGCTCAGTGCTTCCATCGCATCCTACTCTTTGCCACCCCGTGGACTGTAGCCCACCAGGGTCTTCGTCCACGGGATTCTCCAGGCGAGAATACTGGAGTGGGTCACCATGCCCTCCTCCAGGGGATCTTCCCCACCCAGGGACTGAACCCAAATCTCCTGTGTCTCCTGCATTGCAGGCAGGTCCTTTACTGCTGAGCCACCAGGAAAGCCTAAACTATTCACAGTTTTATACAGATATGAAGTTATTACTGGAGTGACCTTAGAGCTGTATTATAAAACGGGATTATTCTCTAAGGTGGAAAAAACCTTCACTTCCCTGTTTCCACCACTAGACAGCAGGCTGCTGAATAACACACAAAACAGGATTTCACAGGTCTAGAGTGTTTAGGGCCAATGAGAAGAATGGCAAGTTGCAAAGTCACAAGAGATAGGAAGTTATAAACAGCCTGGTGAATTGGGATTTACCCGACGAGAACGAGGCCATAACTTTCCCCCACTTTACTTCTAAAGCAGTGAGAGCCAGGTCTAACAACTCTTGAACCCTGAGATACAATTTACTTTGGTGATCTCCAATCTGTGCAATGGGTAGAAAATAAGAAACTGATTAAAAGTTTAAAGTTCAAAGGCTGATTGCACAGTGTATTTCTACATCACAGTGTAGCCAATTTGGGAGTCCTTTCTGAGTACAATGCAAAAAGCAGAAACAATAAAAGAAAAAACTCAAAAGACTTCAACACGAATCTTTAAAATATCTATGTGTTGGGATTTCGCTGGTGGTACAGAGGTTGAGAATTTGCTTTGCCATGCAGGGGATGCAGGTTTGATCCCTGGTTGGGGACTAAGGTCCAGCAGCAGCTAAGCTTGCAGACCACAACTGGTGAGTTCATGCATCACAACAAAAGATCCAGATGATGTAGCGAAGGCCCTGCATGCTGCAACTGAGACGATGCAGTCAAATCAATCGATCAATATTAAAAATAAAGTGAAACATCTATTTTGAAAGACATCCCACCTCCACCACACAGTGAGACTAAATATTCAATGTTAAAGGAATATTTAAACTGTGGAATATCTGCATGATGTAATGCTGGTTAGTCATTAAAAATAATCGTTTAGATAATTCTTTACATGGGAAATAAAGATACTGATAGATGGAAAAAATGTTACATTATATCAATATATACCATAATATTTTTAGGGAATAATAATAAATAAAAATGAAAAATAATGACATTTATTCACGTCCATAAACCAAAGTTCTTTTTGAAGTTCAGCTTTCTTTTTGTGTTTTCAGAAGTGTTGCTCTAAGCATGTATTATCTCTGAAATTGGAAGACAACAAAAGTAAACATTGAACAGAAAGGTTGGTCAAGCAACTCCTTTACCCACTGAGCGCCTGCTGTCCAAGCCTTTCTCTTTTTCTTTTTCTCTCTCCTTCTCCCGGTAGTGGTGGTGACTACCTAATATCTGACGTCCCTGGAGGTGATGGCACTTGGGTGGTGTCTATGAGTTCGCTGTCTAGGTGGTCAGTTTTGCCATTCATGAGTAATAGTACTGAATATAGTTACGATTCTTTGGTTTAAATTTTAATGACTTTTAGTTTTCAATGATATTTTCAAACTGGGGTTTATAGACCACCTTGCATTGATTTGTTAAAAATGCAAATTCTTGGGCTTTTCCCCAGGCTCAATGAATCTGAAATTTTGGAAATAGTGTTCTGGAATTTTCATTTTTAACTAGCTCCTTGAGTTATTTTTATGCATATTGAAATTTGCAAACTGTTGGTAATGGTTGGGATCAAGTGTGAGAAGAACAAGAGTGAAAATATCAAACTAGGGAACACGTTTAAAGCCTGAATATTTATCAGACGTCTCATCTGAGCTATTTTTTCCAACAGATGCTTATGTATTCAATATTTTTAAAGGCACAAACATATAGTGACCAACTAATGATCATCACTTTAATAACCTAAGTGCTTCCCCACCGGTCATAAAAAATTTGCTACTCTGTAAAAGCACCCAGCATACAGGTGGAAACTGCAGAAAACAAACCAAGAAGCAATGTCTTAAAAAAGCAAAATAAACAAAGCAGCATTTCAGAAACACACTTCACATAGTGGAGGAATAAGTCTGGATTTAGACATTCTCTGTGATTCCTGAAGTCCAGTGGCACCTGATGAATTTGAATGCCAGAGGCGCTGACAGCAGGGTGGAGAGCTCAGGTCTTGAACGCTTTCACAGCTGGTTTCAGCTTGACCATGGGCTCCTCTCGGTAGTAACCTTGTGTCCTACGTTGTGAGACTAACGTTTGCAAGGAAACGGGGACCTCCGATTTCAATCCACAGAGGGTTTCCACAAAATGCTGCAGAGAGAAAATTAGTCACAGACTAACAGTTGGAGGGCAAAGCACTGCCAGGGATACAGTGACGGTGTCCAAGGACGAGAAAGCTATTTCCCTGGAGAGAGAGGCTTATGTGGGAATAACAGAAATAAGAGAAGTATCACGTTGTGGAAATGCCTTGAAAGCACAAGTCAATAAATAACCAAGGTTCTGGTCCCTGTTGACTTTTCTGTAGAGTCTTGTTTGAATTAAATATTGCAGCGGGGAAATCCAGAGCATGTTTCAGTAAACAGTTAAGACATTTTGATTTATTCAAGTTAGGAATCAGTCTCTAGGTCACTGGTTTTTGAAATGTTTATGAAAACTGTGCAAACTGTCTTGGAATAAACGTTTTGATTTGCGGGCTTTCCCTGGTGGCTCAGTGGTGGAGAATCTGCCCACCAAAGCGGGAGACATGCATTCGACCCCTGGTGCGGGGGGATCCCACGTGCTGCCGGGAGGCAAGCCCCACGGCGGCAACTACTGAGCCTGCGCTCTAGGAGCCCAGGAGCCGCAACGACTGAGCCCACGCGCCCCGAGATGGTGCTTCACGAGGGAAGACTCTGCAATCTCAAGCTTGGCCCCACGGCCGGACAGGCGCCTCCGCGCGCCGCAACTAGAGAAAAGCCCGCTCAGCAACGAAGCGTAATAAATGCACATTAAAAAAACAAGTTTTGAGTTTTGTTTGTTAAAAAGGTCATTTCAAAGCAGTTTAGCTGTTGAGATATGGCTTTCTTTTCCTACTGATTGTCTTGATACCTGATTACCCGCGGCAGCCGTGAGAACCGCACCTTGAGAACTTCCTACTGGAGGGAACTGATTGACGGATGACCAGACCAACCGCGCGTTTCCGGACAGGCAGCCTCTCTGGGCCCCGGCGTGGGAGGCGTGCTCGGAGAGACTTAGCCCTGAGACTCAGCGGATGCTTCTCCGCCGACTTTGTTGTTTGAAAGCAGCTAAATTTGGAAATGTGTTGTGAAACAAGAGATAACACAATCCCTTAAAACCATTTCTTTAGGCTAGCTTTTAGTGAACTATGTAATTATTATGGGGCTTCACTTGTGGCTCAGATGGTAAAGAGTCTGCCTGCAATGAGACCGGGTTCGATCCCTGGGTCAGGAAGATCCCCCGGAGAAGGAAATGGCAGCCCACCTCAGTACTCTTGCCTGGAAAACCCCATGGATGGAGGAGCCTGGTGGGCTACAGGCCATGGGGTCGCAAGAGTTGGCCACGACTGACCAACTTCACTTAGCCAAAAGCGGCTAAATTTGGAGCTAACTAACACAATCCCTTAAAACCATTTATTTTCATGTCAATGTATGGCAAAAACCGCTGCAATATTGTAAAGTAATTAGCCTCCAACTAATAAAAATAAATGGAAAAGAAAATACATTACAATAGTGATATTTATTGAGCATTTATAATGTTCTAGGTAATTGTTCTAAGTGCTTTACATGAGTGAAGTTATTCACAGCAACCTTACGACATTTGTGATGTTATCATTTCAAATTCATGGATAAAGGTGGGGGAATATGTAAGGTACAGTTCCGGCGAGGCAGAAAAGGAAAGACGACCTCAACAGAAGTAGGTTACCTTTATTCAGGCAAGGAGGGGCGACAGTCGGCCTAACGACCAGGCTGAGCGCCGAAAGGGATCAGGGAGGCTTCATTCTTATAGGGAGGTTTGTGGAAGCGAAAAGGGAAACATCAATCAGGCGGGATTTGAATATTTCTCTGTTGAGATGATACTTGCAGCTGGGCAGGGGGTGATAAGTCTTCTGGGCGGGTGGAGGGGGCGGTAGGTTTCCGGACAGGGGGAGATAAGTCCCAGATAGATGCAGCTGGCCTGGAGCATCAGGATGGAACTAAAGTTATGCTTTGTTCTCTCCGAAGTTAGATGATTCAGCAAGGGGCCTTTGAGACTGCTGTTCTCTTCTCTAAGCCCAAAAGACTCCTTCAGAATAGACAGGCTAGGTAACTTTGCTAAGGTCGCAGCGTGGGGGAGTGGTGTTAACAGGACTTGAACTTGGAAGTCTACTTTCAGAGCCAAGCTTTGCTGAAGTGGCACCAAGCTGTCATCTGGGGCTGAAGTCATCTCAAGGCTCAGCTGGGGACGGGGGATCTGTTCCCGGGTCTGTCACACAGTTGTCAGCAGGCCCTGGCTCCTTGCTGTTTGATTTTTGGCTGGAGGCTTCCTTCCACGCCACAGGAACTTATCTCATTAGTGAGTTTACAAATGAGATCACACAATATAGTGTTTCTTTTTTATCTTTTTTCCCACCCGCAAATATTAATATATTGTAAATTTTTTCCCCTGTAACTAAACTTATTTTTAATAATATTTTTTAAAAGGGTTTGGATACAATTTATCAACTTAAAAATGCAGAATTGTTTTGGGCAAATCATTTAAAATATTATGGAAAACCTGACTTTATCTTCTTTGATTTATGCACTAAAACTTCTCACAGTTGGCTGTTGGCTTCTTTGATTCATTGCTATTTAAAAAAAAAATTTTTTTGTGTTTTTATTTGACAGCAGAGATCTTACCAGCAATTTATTGCTGTATGTTAATGTTTATCTTCTTTTTGTAATTATTGAAATTCTACAAAAATGAAATACTCTTTTCCAGTGCTAAATGTAGAGCTATGCAAATTAACAGGAATGACTCACTATTATAGTGGAGGCAAAATATTTAAGGTAATTAAAAATTTCTTGCTGACTTGTCTGAATTATTATGATTTTGTGTGTGTGTGTGTGTGTGTGTGTTGTGACAATGAAAAATAGTCTGCCAGGGGTAGCAGGAACGTTCTTCTCATCTCTAAATTTCACACAAAGGCATCCTACTTAATGGTTCTTTATTACTGGTTTTATGGAAAGAAAGCTCAGAGAGGAGTTTTGCACTGTTGGCTCCACGCTTCACTGTGTATGGGAAATTGACTTAAAAAGCCCCATCCTAGTCCTCATTACAAACACAGACCCTGTCCCTTGGGAAACTGGAAGTCAAGAAGATGAACACCTTCATATTGATGTTTCAGGCATGAGTTTATTCTAGAGAAAATTAATCCCAATAAGGGGGCTCTAAAAAGAAGGAAAGGTTGAAAAACAACAAAACTGCAGCTATTAAAAAAAAAAACCCATCCCAAATGCAGCAAATTCCTCATTTGTATCTGTTAAATATGTCTTTTGATTATATCTTTTTATTCTAAATCTAAAGAGGAGGTTATAGAATTGTAGGGCTTCCCAGTGCGTCATTTTTTGTGACGCCCCTAATTTCTTGTGCTGGTCTCTTTCCTTTAGTGAAGTATACTAAAGACTGACAATAGAAGAGAATACAAAAATTTGTATTTTGTGTGTGTGTTTTTTACCAATATTGTTCATGTAAGAGAGAAATGAATTTTCCCTAAATGATAGTCTAGGTCTTTAATGAGCTTTTATTTTGGTGTAATTCCACATATCCTTTCACTGGCTTCCCATGTGTCTCAATGGTAAAGAATCTGCCTGCCAGTGCAAGAGATGCGGGAGACACAAAGTCAGTCCCTGGGTCGGGAAGATCTCCTGGAGGAGGAAATAGCAACCCACTCCAGTATTCTTGCCTGGGAAATCTCATGGACAGAGGAGCCTGGGGGGCTACAGTCCAAGGGGGTTGCAAGAGTCAGACATGACTTAGCAACTAAACCACCACATAATTATTAATACAATCCCCCCCCATAGATTTTATCCTTGTGTTTGCAGAGTATATCACACTTAGTTCTGGACATCTGGTTTTGCCCAGAGTGTTTGCGTCTCACATGCATCACTGGCAGAGTGTAGCTCATGTCTCTTCTGGCTGTAGGAGCTAGCAGAGTGTCAGACACGGACTTGAGTGTGCAACTAACGCCAAAGAGTACAGTGATGTTTTATACTTTAAATATTACAAGCTCTTAGCGCTGAAAAATAATATATTTAAAGTTCATATCATCTTTATATGAGTGAGTTCTGCTTTGGAGACAGGGAAAGTCCTTTAGAGGGAAGCTATACTTTATAGATATAAGTTCGTATGTTCACGTCCCCATTTCACGGACCAGAAGACTGAGGCTCCTACCTTCTCCTCCACTTTGCTCTTACCATCTCTAAATCTACTAGGGTAAGTGGTCAGCGTGGATCAAGGCAGCCTGACGTCGGCAAGGCCTTCTTCCCAGCAAGGACTCCCGGGCCGGGCGCTCTGTCCCACCTGCCTTGCGGTTCCGGCGATAAGTGGGTGGCCGCCCCCTGAAAAGCCAGAGCCCGCTCCGTGTCTTGGCTCTGGGTTGCAGCGCCCGCAGGGNACGTCGGCAAGGCCTTCTTCCCAGCAAGGACTCCCGGGCCGGGCGCTCTGTCCCACCTGCCTTGCGGTTCCGGCGATAAGTGGGTGGCCGCCCCCTGAAAAGCCAGAGCCCGCTCCGTGTCTTGGCTCTGGGTTGCAGCGCCCGCAGGGAGGTGCACGTTCCAGGGCGCCTGCACCAGCCGGGGTGCAGTGAGAGGGTCAAGGCCAAGGCCACTGTGGAGGACCCCGACCCAAGGCCACGCGCAGGATGCAAGCCGCCTGCTTCTGCGCCAAGTCCGAGCGCTGGGGCCTCACCAGGTAAAGCGCAGTGAGCAGCGCCGGGGGAGCGGCAGGGCTGGAGCGGGGCTGAGAAAGGTGACCCGCGGCCCACGGCCTTGCCCTTCCCCTAGACTTGCCAGAACCCTAGTGAAAGTCGCTCGGTCGTGTCCGATTCTCTGCGACCCCATGGACTATACAGTCCATGGAATTCTCCAGGCCAGAATACTGGAGTGGGTAGCCCTTCCCTTCTCCAGGGGATCTTCCCAACCCAGGGATCGAACCGAGGTCTCCCGCATCGCGGGTGGATTCTCTACCAGATGAGACGCAAGGGAAGCCAGGACCCTAAGGTCTTCTGATGAAAGGCCCCTGACCTCCCGAAAATCTCGGCCGCTTTGAGATGTAAATGTTCTACAACCCGGGAAAGTCTTTCTCCGGGACTTGGGCCATCCTTTCTTCTGAAATACAAGCATCAAGAAAGAGCCCGGCCTTATCTACCAGTCTCGATGGGAGTCCGGAATCTAGCTCCCAGGTACCCCTCCGCCGTGGCCTCTGCTACTGATAACTTCCTACAAGCTCGCTCCAGCCTTACACTCTCCTGCCATGTGTTTCCACAGCTGAACTCAGCCGTTCTTTCCCAGCACAGCAGTTTTGACCCCTATTGCAGCAGTCTGGAATAAAATATTCTCTGCTCTTTTGGCCAGTGTCTCTTCGAAAAGAGTGGGAGGGCAGAGGAGAGGGAAAGTTATAGACTGAAAGGAAGGAGGAAATGCAAGGAGGACAGGGAGGGAATCCCTGATTTCAGAGTCCAGGGGCAGGAGGATGGTCTCCACCCCCACAGTACCAGGTAGGGGTGGGGCGTAGGGGGATATGGAGAAGGGGGTGTTGTTCACTGGTACAGTCGTGTCCGACTCTGTGTCCCCATGGACTGCAGCACGCCAGGGTTCCATGTCCTTCACCATCTCCTGGAGCTTGCTCAAACTCATGTCCATTGAGTAGAGTCAGTGATGCCATCCAACCATCTCATCCTCTGTCGTCCCCTGCTCCTTCTGCCTTCAGTCTTTCCCAGCATCAGGGTCTTTTCTAATGAGTCAGCTCTTCGAATCAGGTGGTCAAAGTATTGGAGTTTCAGCTTCAGCATCAATAAACGAATAGTCCTTCCAATGAATATTCAGGACTGATTTCCTTTATGATGGACTGGTTGGATCTCCGTGCAGTCCAAGGGACTCTCAAGAGTCTTCCTAACACCACAGTTCAAAAGCATCAATTCTTCAGTGCTCAGCTTTCTTTATAGTCCAACTCTCACATCCATACTTAACTACTGGAAAAACCATAGCCTTGACTAGATGGACCTTTGTTGGCAAAGTAACGTCTCTGCTTTTTAATATGCTGTCTAGGTTGGTCATACCTTTTCTTCCAAGAAGCAAGTGTCTTTTCATTTCATAGCTGCAGTCACCATCCGCAGTGGCATCGAGAAGGACCTTGCTTTGGATACACTGGGGCTGGGGTATGTGAAGGATCTTCTGTTACATTCTATTAAAGTAATAAAAACAGAGCTTTGACTCTAGGCTTGAGATCCACTCCTGTCTTTTCTATTGTGCGTCTTTGGGAATGTTCCTTAGCCTTTCTCCTTGTTCAGTTTCCACTCTGTAAAATGGGAATAATAACAAATACCTTCCTCATAAGAATGGACTGTAAAAAAGGCAGGACACCAAAGTATTGGTTCCTTTGAACTGTGGTGCTAGAGAAGACTCCTGAAAGTCCCTTGAATAGCAAAGACATCAAACCAGTCACTCTTAATGGAAAACAATTCTGAATACTTGTTGGAAGGACTGATTCTAAACCTGAAGCTCCACTATTTTGGTCATCTGAGGTGTGGTTTTTCCAGTGGCCATGTATGGATGTGAGAGTTGGACTGTGAAGAAATCTGAGTGCTGAAGAATTGATGCTTTTGAACTGTGGTGTTGGAGAAGGCTCTTGAGAGTCCCTTGGACTGCAAGGAGATCCAACCCGTCCATCCTAGAGGAGATCAGTCCTGAGTATTCATTGGAAGGATTGATGCTGAAGCTGAAACTCCAGTACTTTGGCCACCTCATGCAAAGAGTTGACTCATTGGAAAAGACCCTGATGCTGGAAGGGATTGGGGGCAGGAGGAGAAGGGGACGACAGAAGATGAGATGGTTGGATGGCATCACTGACTTGATGGACATGAGTTTGGGTAAACTCCGGGAGTTGGTGATGGATAGGGAGGCCTGGCGTGCTGTGATTCACGGGGTTGCAAAGAGACACGACGGAGCGACTGAACTGACTGACTGATTGAGGTGAACAGCCAACTCATTGGAGAAGTCCCTGATGCTAGGAAAGATTGAGGGCAGAGGAGATGGCTAGATGGCATCACCAACTCAATGAACTTGGGCAAGCTCCGGGAGATGGTGATGGACAGGGAGGCCTGGCGTGCTGCAGGCCACGGGGTCACAAAGAGTCGGACTCGACTGAGCGACTGAACTGAACTGAACTGAACTGAAGGGAGACATAAGATGTAACTGACATGTAAGTAATAAGCAAGGAAGGCCAGCCAGTTGGTTGGCCTGAGAAGGAGTTTCCTGAGCGCCCCGGGTTGGCCAAGAGGAGGAAGGTCATCACGGAATCCTCTCCATTCGGCAGCATTTGGTGGGACACAGGTGTGGACAGCCCAACTGGATTCTAACCCTGGGGTTATTTGGTCGCTTCTTCACAGTATTCTGACCAGAGTCTATGCAGAGCCATTTCCTGCCCTCCATGGGAAGTTCTGGAACAAAGATGACTTGATGATTAGTCTAGTATCCACTAAGCCTAGGGAGGAACTAAGTTGGCTGATGCAAGTGAACTCGAATCAAAAGGGACGTGGGATCTTGCCAAATGGTTGGGTCACATCTCTGGTCATCTGTAGCCGGGGGAGCTCTGGTCTAGTCTTTATCTACCCTTGTAACTCAGCTCCTTCCAGTATGAAAGGGTCATAAAAGGAGAGGATCTCAACACTGGAAGGACTTTAGAGACTAACTCAAGGCTCTTCTTTAACCAGTGGGGAGTTGAGCCCCAGAGGATTAAGTGACTTGTCCAAGTTGGTGGCAGAATGAGGTCTAGAAAACAACTGTCTTTCTTCTCCATTGTGAGCCCGCAGTGAGAGATAGATGACAGAATTTAAGTCTGACTATATTCACTTTCTTCTTGGGAATTCATTACAATTGCGTCTGTCAAATTGGTATTATTGTCTTTTCCATTTTTTTTTTAAGTCATGTTCAGAAGATTCCCAGTTTGTGGCAGCTGAAGTTAAAGTAATAATTTATTTCCTGTAGTCTCTGAGATGATGACCTACAAAACTACCTTTGGGGCTGCTTTGCGGGAGGGCAGGGATGGAGAGTGGAAGTGCAGGAGGTGGAATGGTAGATGCATTCTCCCATGCCTGATTCCTTTCTTAATGTTTTCAAAACACAAGTGAAAATTGGAAATAATAAGCATTCAGTGAATGGGTCTCTCATTCAACATTTATTGCTGTCCCCTCTGTGTCAGGCGCTGCACAAGATATAGCCACCCAAGTCATAAAAATAGTCACCATCCTCATAAAAATAGTCACCATCCATGGCCATCAGCGGCTCACAAGCAAGGCCACAGCTTCCAACTTGTTATGGAACATTTGTTTTCTAAAACCATTTATTTCCACAACTCTAAATTTTGGCTTAAGGCTTACTATTTCTTCCAATGCCAAATTGCTAGCATTTTGTTTTTTCAAATTGTTGATATATAAAAGCCTGTAACAGTGTTGAGTAAAGCTTCTTTTATTTGAGTAAGAGTGTGGCTCCTCAGAAATAGTAATTTCTGATAGCTGATGATTAATCCCATGAGCAAATGAATTTTCCTGCAGTTTTGAGGGCAGAGTGATAAATTAGTATTTGCAAAATGCTTTCTTCCACATTAGAGGTAATGTGTTCATCTGCAGACCAACCGAATTTGAAATGCCTGTGATTATCTTCAAAATCACACTGGGAGTGCATGCGAATAAAAATAAGAGTTGGCAAGAGAAGAAGGGGCAGAATCCATTTAAGATTGCTAAATTGCTATCTGTTTTGATAAGGTAATTGGCTAGAAAATTAAATGCACTGTATAGAACAAAGCTATTTCCTGTAAGCTGCTACAGCCAAATGTCATTTTTATTCAGCAAGCACAGGAATACAAGGAATAAGTAAGTGGATCAAACCAAAAAGAAATTAGAGGAAGAATAAATCCAGCAAAAAGAAATAAGATTATTTAAAGTACAGGTTGATATCTGCATTTGAATCTTTGGTACTGAGTATGTGTCTAAAAAAATTATCTTTTCCTTGTACCCTCCTTGAATACACTTCGTTTGTTGAAATCCTTACTTGAGAGAAGTTTTGATAAAGTGGGAAAAGCACCAAATTGTGAAGCAGGTAAAGACACCTGGGTTTTAGTCTCCACTCCACAGCTTAACCAATCAGCTAACCTGATCTTCAAATGGCTTCATTGCTAAAATGAGAGATTGGATGAAATCATTCTCTAATATTCTTTCCAGCTGTAAAATCATGATTCTAAGTCAAGCGCTTTCTCAACATTTCTTAAATAAAGACAGAAGATTAAATTCTGATAGGATTCTTAAATTTACACAGACATTAACACAGATAATTCAAGTTGAAGAGCCCTAGCCTTTGAAATTCATTTGACTTCCTGGTCTTTCTGAGAAATGATTACACGTTACGGGCACACAAAATTCTGTTGGCTCCCTGAATCTTGCAGGTGCAGGGGAGTCAGGGAAACAATGACAGCTGCTGGCTGCAGGGAGGTCCCGATACCACCCCCACCCATCTTCTGAAAGCTGCCCTTTCAATAGCATAACCACGTTGGCTTTCTCAGTGGTCATCAACTAAGGAGCATCTCTGGGCAAGAACTTGAGCGAGATACGAGGTGTTCCTGGGACTGAGAGCTCACAGTCAAGCAACCCGAGGAAGCCTACTGCTTGTACCCTGCCTCCTGATACGGTTTCCTCCCTCTTTGGAGAAGTTACAAATAGGACCAAGTTTCTTTTTCATTTTCTCCACCTGGTTTGGTGGGTGCTGTTGCAGAATGATAAAAATAAGAGTTGGAAGGAGGAGAGAAAATGGTAGATGGAGGTCCCAAAATTCTTCAAGGAAAACTTGGAGCAGTGCCTTTGAAGGAATTAGATTTAAATTTCATCTATTGAAACTGTATAGCCTTGGGAAATTACTTAGCTTTTTAATATTGCCCAGCAGGGATTTTATTGGATAAAATTAAAAAAAAAATCCTAGCACATAATAAATGTGTAATAAATGGTAGCTATTGTTATTAAGATTGTTTGTCTTTCGACCAACTAATTACTTTTTATCCCTTGCCTCCATTTCAAGAGGATTTGGGGGAATTTTTTAAAATAATGAACACAACTAAGGAAACTGGATGTGGGGGTGTAAAGCTAGAAAAATTGATGTAAAACATCGAATTAAATCATTTTGAAAATCATCACTTGAGAGGATAGCAGATTTATCTGACTTTGCTTCCAACAGATATGATATCAAGACTTTTATTGGGACTGGCAGTTTCAGGAGGTGGTCAGGGTGGAGCCAAGGACCACCAAGAAACCTTTTGCAATAAAAGTGATGGAAACCAGAATGAGAGAAGGCAGGGAGGTGTGTGAGTCTGAGTTGCCCGTCCTATGGGGGGTTGGCCACAGTTCCATCATCCAGCTCCTGGAGATCTTTGGGGCCGGAGATCAAGTTTACGTGGTGATGGGGTTGACTCTAGAAAGGGAGTTCTTTGATTGACTCATCTCTCAGGGATCCTTTACAGAGCAGGATGCTGTCAGAATCCCCCACGTGGTTGCTGATGGCATGAGGTATGTGCATGCGTTGAGAACAACTCAACAGAGACCTAAAGCCTGAAAAGCTCTTACGCAATCACCCAGGAGTAGACTCACACATTTTAATCACAGACGTTGATTTGGGACACTCTAGGAATAAACGGGGTGACTGGACAGTGAGGATGCTCTATGGACCCCAGAGTACATAGCTCCTGAAGTTTTGCTGAGAAAATCTTATACCAGCGGAGTTGACACGTGGATTTTTGGCCTAATCGAGGATGTGTTACTTGGCAGATCCCTGTCTTTTAACGATGAAAGCCATGTGAGGCTTTCTAGGAAGATTCTGAAAGGCAGAGAGTTATACAGGAGAGGTGAGAGCTAAGAGCTCAGTGTCTTCCTATGGACTTGGTCTTGAATAGATCTTCTTTTTAAAAGAAATTAATTTGCTTTATTTGGGGTTGTACGGGGTCTTTGTTGGTGCGTGCGGGCTCTCAAGCCTGCTCAGGGTGCAGGCTTCTTCCTGAGGAGTCTTCTCTTCGTGCGGAGCACAGCCTCGAGGTGCATGGGTTTCAGTAGCTGCCGCCCGTGGGCTCAGTCGTCGTGATTTGTGGGCTCCAGAGCTCAGGTTCAGTAGCTGAGGTGTGTGGGCTTAGCTACCGTGCGGCATGTGGGATCTTCCCGAGCCAGGGTTTGAACCTGTGTCCCTGCATTGGCAGGCAGTTGAGCAGAGTTCCTCAGTTTCCACACTATTGGCATTTGCAGCAGGATGGTTCTTTACTGGAGTCGTGTGGGGAGGGGTGCGGGGTATGGCCGTCCTGCTGAAACAGGAAACAGACAGAGCTGGGCTCCGTCTCCGCCCAGGCTGCGAACAGCAGGCTACACGCATGGTCACCCTCCCAGCGGACTCCGAACTTGGCGCCCGAGGTCTATAGAAGTGGCATACCAATGGGAAACCAGACCCCCGGACGGAAGAGCCTCAAGACTTGAACTTGGACTCTCCCTTGCCATTCTTTTAAGAGTACACCAATTATCTCTGTAACAGAACAAAGTGGTAAACTCCATCGTGTTTATCGGGATACGACCACAGGCCTATTGCTAAATACCCACTGTTTATCTAGTCTTGTGACACATGGCTTAACTCTGATCGTATCTCTCTTTTACCTTGTCCAGACTAGTTTCAAGGAATTTGGAGAGGTGGCTTTGAGCAAGTACACTTAGGGTATATAAGGTTTTCACAAAAGCTGGTCGGGGTCCTTGGCTAAGAGGAGACTCTGCCTTGGGCCCACTGGTATAACAAACTGCACTCCACTATCTGCATTGTCCTTCTGAGTGAGTTTGTTTCTCTGAACACATGGTTACAACACTGTGTGCAGTAGGATGCTAAGCCTACCAGCTAGGTACCAGGAGATACACCAGCAGTCTGGTAGATACTGGTATCCAATAACTACACTAAATACACACCTTCCCCCAAGTTGTGACAATTAACATTGTCCTCAGACATTCTTAAATGGCCTCTATGGGGCAAAAATCACCCCGATTGAAAGCCAAGTTTCAAGGTAGCAAAGGGCCTCAGTGACCCTGTCTGTGGCTGTGTGTGTCTGTGGCTAGCACATAGCAGTGACAATCAAGTAGGGAAGTGAGTTTGCTACGTCTTCAGTCATCATGCAGAGCCTGAGCCCGGTGTAGACTAATGCATATGTGGAGGCTCAGAGTGATGCTTGGATGTTTGGTGAGACATTTATCTGCCTTGATTCTAGAGGATCCAAGCCCTTTGTGAGATGTGGTGTTTTCTCAGTCAAATGTTTAACCTTGCAGTTTGTGTAGAATATTCATCCATTGTTTAAACTCAGAACTCCCAGTGCTTAGGAATGCATTAACGCTTCTGTTGGTTTGTTTAGGGAAGGAAAGCTGCCAATGCCTCTGTGTGGGAAGCCTGACAAAATAGGAGATTTACTTCTTATTAAGCAAGAGACCAAATTTGTTTTATGTTTAGTGATGAAAGGACTTTTTTTTTTTCTCATATGGAAAAGTATTGATAGTTTAATCGTACATACTTAAAGTGTAACATCTATAGGTATAACATCTTAAGCAAAATTAAAAGTTAAATAACAAATTGAAAAATAATATTTTCTATCCTCTTGCAGATTTAATGTCTTATTGCACATGTATATGTTTGAATACAAATTGGTAATTGAGAACTGAGATTTACACAGGGAGGTAGGAAAGGATGGAAAGAATTCACACACAATGCAAATCACGAGACGCTTTAAAAAAACATCTAGCATCACTAACCCCCAAAGAAATACAAATGAAGACAACCATATCTTTTCTTTGTCTTTCAAATTGATACAAATTAAGAAAAAAAAAGCTCTAAGTTACTCATTGATGCTATGAGTACTAAGAGATTAGCCTTCTTATCCACTGTTGGTATGGGATGAATTGTTACAGATTTCTTGAAAAGTAGTTTGAAAGATACATTTAGAATGGAGACTGCAGCCATGAAATTAAAAGACGGTTGTTCCTTAGAAGGAAAGCTATGACAAACCTAGGCATCGTATTAAAAATCAGAGACATCATTTTGCTGACAAAGGTTCATGTAGTCAAAGCTATGGTTTTTCCAGTAGTCATGTATGGATGTGAGAGCTGGGCCATATAGAAGGCTGAGCGCCAAAGAATTGTTGCTTTTGAACTGTGGTGTTGGAGAAGGCTCTTGAGAGTCCCTTTGATTAATTTGCATATATTGAAGAATCCTTGCATTCTTGGTGTAAATTCCACTTGATCATGTTGTATGATCCTTTAAATATGTTCTTGGATTTTGTTTGCTAGTATCTTCTTGAGGATATTTGTGTCTATGTTCATCAGTGATATTGGCCTGTGATTTTTTTCAGTTTTTGTGGCATTTTTGTCTGGATTTGGTATCAGGGTGATGGTTGCCTCAGAAAATATTTGAGAGTGTTCTTCCTTCTGCAACTTTTGGAAGAGTTTGAGCATGAAAGGTATTATCTCTTCTCAAAATGTTTTATAGAATTCACCTGTGAAGCCATCTGGTCCTAGACTTTTTGTTGGAAGATTTAAAATTACAGTTTCAATTTCAATGCTTGTGACCTACCTGCTTATATTTTTTAATTCTTTCTGGTTCAGTCTTAGAAGATTGTACCTTTCCAAGAATTTGTTCATTTCTTTCAGGTTGTCAGTTTTATTGGCGTATAGTTGCTTGTAGTAGTCTCTTATGATCCTTTGTATTTCCATGGTGTCAGTTATGATTTCTCCTTTTTCATTTCTAATTTTATTGAGTTCTCTCCCTTTTTTCTTGAAGAGTCTGGCTAAAGGTTTATCAATTGTGTTTATCATCTCAAAAACTAACTTTTACTTTTATTGATCTTTGATATTGTTTTCTTCATTTCTATTTCATTTATTTCTGCTCTGAACTTTATGATTTCTTTCTTTCTACTGATTTTAGGTTTTCTTTGTTCTTCTTTCTCTGGTTGCTTTAGGTGTAAGTTTGGATTGTTTAGTTGAGGTTTTTCTTGTTTCTTGAGGTGAGATGGAATTGACACAAACTTCCCTCTTAGAACTGCTTTTTTACCCCATAGGTTTTGGGTTATCATGTTTTCATTGACATTTGTTTCTATATATTTCTGTATTTCTTTAGTTCTTTAATTTCTGAGTAATTAGTTGGTTATTTAGCTACACACTGTCTAGTCTCTATGTATTTGTGTGTTTTTTTTTAAAGATTTCTTTCCTGTAATTGATTTCTAATTTCATAGCATTGTAGTCAGAAAAGATGATTGATAAAATTTCAATTTTCTTAAATTTTCCAAGGCTTGCTTGATTTGTGACCCCAAATGTGGTCTATCATGAAGAATTGAGAAAAAAGTTTATTCTGCTGCTTTGGGGCAGAATGTCCTATAAATATCAATTAAATCTACCTGGTCTATTGTGTTATTTAAAGCTTGTGTTTCTTTATTTATTTTCGGTCTAGATGATCTGTGAATGGGTGTAAGTGGGCTATTAAAGTCCCACACTACTATCGTGTTACTGTCAATTTCTTCTTTTGTTAGCACTTGCCTTATGTATTCAGGGCGGCTGGATGGCATCACCGACTCGATGGGCATGAGTTTGCGTAAACTCCGGGAGTTTGTGATGGACAGGGAGGCCTGGCGTGCTGTGATTCATGGAGTCGCAAAGAGTCGGACACAACTGAGCGACTGAACTGAACTGAACTGATGTTGGGTGCGTAAATGTGTCTGCTTGTTATATCTTCTTGGATTGATCCCTTTTCAAACATAGTTTAATTTTCACTTTTTTTCTGGCTGTGCGGAGTCTCTGCTGCGGCACGGGCCTTTCTCTAGCTGCAGCGCACGGGCTCCCCGCCTCGGCGGCCTCTCGTTGCGGAGCACAGGCCTCAGGGCGCCGGGGTTTCAGGAGCCGCAGTGCGTGAGCGCAGTCGCTGCGGCTCCGGGCTCCAGAGCGCAGGCTCCGGGGTTGTGACGTCCAGGCCTAGTTGCTCCACGCACGTGGGCTCCTCCCGGTTCGGGATCTGTGTCTCCTGCACGGGCAGGCAGATCCTTTGCCACCGAGCCGTCAGGGACGCCCTCCCAGCCCTTTTAGCTTCAGTGCTTTCTTTATAAGTCAAGAACTGAAAGCATCCTTCCTCTCATGTCAAGAGCCTCTTAAACTTAGAAAAACATCCTCTCTCTGAGCTCCGTGTGGGATCAATTGGCTCTTTCTCTATTTTTTTAAATGCGATGTCACCTATAATTAACTTGTGAATGCCTATTTGCTTTTTCTAGGGGTTACAAGTGCCCCAACAGATAGAGCATTCTGACTCAGTCAAAGCTTGACTTGGAGTGGTTTCAGTTTTGGCAAATATGAGACACAATTTGAACTCTTCTTTGAATATTGGCAAGAGACAAACCTTAAATATCTATGATATAAAGATGATGTACAAGATCTCTTGCTTTTTGAAATAAGGAAGAACAATTTTGCTCTATTATTAACAATGTTATGTAGAGTTAATCGGTACCTTGGAACATATTTACATAAAATTTAATTGCAAAGCTCAAGTGAAATCCTACCAAAACTACAGGCTAATGTTCAAAGAAGGAAGGAAACTGTTAGTCAGAGGGTTATCATCAGTAGAAATTTTAATAAAAACTACTGTTTTTGAGGAAATTAATGCTACTTGAGTCCTCCTAGTGCAAAGATATGAATGATAGCTTAACCATCTACTTTAAAAAATGACTGTTTGTAGTTTTATGAAAACTTATAATTAAATCCATCAATAATTACCCTCTACTTTTAGAAGTTCTTTGATTTATTGAGTTTCAACATCAATTATAATCCTTATATTTTTTTCTTCCTGTTTTATCGAGGTCTCATTGACATAACAGCATTATATGAGTTTAAGACATCCAGCATAATTATTTGACTTACACGTATCATGAAATGATTATCACAATAAGTTTAGTGAACATCCATCATCTCATATAGATACAAAGTAAAAGAAAAAAATTTTTTCCTTGTGCTGAGGACTCTTAGGATTTACTCTTTTAAACAACTTTCACATATAACATACATCAGGATTACTTATTTAATCTTGTTGTACATCCTCAATATGTATTGATCTCGTAACTAGAATGTTCTGCCTTTTGACCACCTTCATCCAGTCCCTCTTCTGCCCTCCCACCTGCCTCTGGTATCCAGAAATCTGCTCTCTCTTTCTATAGTTTGTTTTTAAAGTATAATTGTCCTACGACAGTGTGTTAGCTCCTAGTGCACAATATAGCAATTTGATATTTCTGTGCATCAGAAAATGATCACCCCTACGATCTTTAAAATTTAAGATGTCTCATCTAGAATTTTAGGTACTGTATCTATATTGTGTCCATGTATGCTTGTAATGTCTGGGTTTTTAATTATGATTTAAAATAATAATTCTCTGTGAGAATGCCTCAAAGGAACCAAGAAATATGAAAGCTTTGACTAGTCATGGGACTATTGTTCATTTATAAACTAGTTACTTAGCTTTTGGAAAGCAGCTATACTAACCACTGTGTGACCAATGCCTCAGTCAGATGTTGTGTATTTTTTAAGCTGCCCAGGGAGCTCAGTGGGAAAGAATCTGCCTGCCAATGCCAGAGCTGCAGGAGATATGAGTTGAATTCCTGGATCAGGAAGATACCCTGGAGAAGGAAATGGAAACCCACTGCAGTTTTCTTGCCTGGAGAATCCCATGGACAAAGGAGCCTGGCGGATACAGTCCATGGGATCGCAGAGTCGGACACGATCAAGCGGTTGAGCACACACCCCATCTTCTGTACAAGCTGCTACTTTGGCTTTATTAACTGGTGTTCATTAAAGGAGAGAATGAATGTGAGAATCTGGAAGGTAGGACTCTGTTGTCCTTGAAGGGGAGGCTGGGAATCTCCATGGAGACGCTGGGGCTCCAAGTCTGGGAGAATGAAGGAGACTGCAGGATACAAAGCCGTGGGTAAACCCTAGGTAAGAGAACCTTGTGCAAAGGATTTAATTTGGGAGCTGATGCAGAAAATCAGAGATGAAAGCGGGGCCTGTTTGTCAGAACGAGGAAGGAGGGCAGTCGTGGGTGGGGTGGAGGACAGAGCCAGTGAATGGAGCATGCAGAGGGGCCAGGGGTAGCTGGCAGACTCTGCAGGACAGCACGCCTTCGGGGCCCTCTGCAGGGCAGGCCTCTCAGAAGGCCCTGCACTAGGTCACACTGAAAGAGAATTATTCATCAGCAAATCGGAAAGCAGAACACTACAGTCATTCTCTCTAAACTTCTCTGTTTAGAGGCAAAAGAGTAAAGACATGAATGGAACATGCACCATTGCTACTGTTGTTCAGCTTCTCAGTCGTGTCCGACTCCATGAGACCCCATGGACCGCAGCACGCCAGGCCTCCCTGTCCCTCACCGTCTCCCGGAGTTTACTCAAAGTCCTGTCCATCGAGTCAGTGATGCCATCCAACTGTCTCATCCTCTGTCGCCCCCTTCTCCTCCTGCCTCCAATCTCTCCCAGGAATCTTTCCCATTGCTCTCAATTTCTTTTATTTCTCCAAAGCTAATAGTGCAATTTCTAATACCGAGTTTCAGTTTTCTGCCTTCTTTGTTGTTGTTTTGTACAGTTAGCTAGTTTCTGTTACAGATGACAGAGAAATAGGCACAGATAAAGAAAGGGACAAGAAAGGAGAAAAAGGCCCAAACTCTTCATGAGTATTACAGTGTACTTGTAACTAACTGGATGAGCCTGGAATAAAAGGAAAGGGCAGTCTTTGTCTTTACATGGTTCATTACCTCTTCACACAGAATGCTGTTTTTATTTTTAGTTTTGAGGGCACATATTTGTCACAGTAATAGTAGTGGAATAGGTCTGAGAACTTTCGGACAATTTTCACCTTCTAGTCCTCTAAATGTTGTTAGTGAAATGTATCTATAAAAGAGTCACATGGTGATTTAACAGTAACTAGAACAAGAGCAATAGCAATCGAGGTAATATTTTATACTTTGAAAATCATTTCTCACATACCTTATTACTTTGGTCCTAATAGCAAATCTTTTCTTTTTTCTTCTTTTTGGATGTTTCTTATGTATTTACCTGCATCGGGTCTCAGTTGTGGCATGCGAGATCTTCCCTGCATGACGTGAGACCCTTCTTTGCAGTGCACAGACTCTCCCGTGGGGACACCCAGGCTCCAGAGCTCTCCAGTCAGTAGTTACAGCGTGTGGGCTTACCTGCTCTGTGGCAGGTGGGACCTTAGTTCCCAGACCAGGGATCGAACCTGCATCTCCTGCATTGCAAGGCAGGTTCTTAACCACTGGACCCCCAGGGACGTCCCCTAAAGGCAACCTTATGAAAGAGAGCTGGTGATCCCACTTTTCTGGTGCAGAAACCGAGATCTCGCGATTCCGAGTTGAGTGTGGCCGCCCAGCCTCTCTGATCCAGACCCACTGACCTCCGTCCCCAGCTCTTTCCGTGTGATGGCGGGTTGACAAGACAGTTGACAGCATTGTCTTCCTGAGGCTGAGGAGAAACGCTGGACGGGGATTTTCAATCCGAAGAGTGGACATGGCCAACTCTCGGAGGAGAAATGATGCAGACAGCCTCAGTGGCTGTTATGTGGGTGTGAAAGCTGCTGACGGGACTGGATGACCTCACCAGATGACAGAGCTCCAGAGGAGGAATCTGATTAAACCTGTGGTCCCAGGAACTGATCGTCTTGTGTCACATTACACTAGTCAAAAAGTTTGAGCATGCACGCTGTTTTCATGCATTTCTAGAATATATACATGTATGCATATTAATCTGTTTTGTACTTTATGAAACATAGGCAAAAATAAAATTTAGTTTAAGAAGATAAAAATATAATAGGCGTTCTAGCATTTTCCCCCTTGTTGTTTTCTAATATGCAACATGAAATCGTCTGCTATATACTCTCCAGCTGTTCTTTATGGCTCAGGGATTCTGTAATTTATAACTTGTGTTTGAATAATGAGCTTTGTCTGAAGAATTTTTGTCCAGGACATCAGTTAACCTTATTTTCTGCATTTTCAATGTATATTCATTTGGTCATTTTAATGAGCTCTCCATAAGTCTCATTGCACATATTTTGTATTCTTTCCAGCTTTCAGTGGCTTGTCTCATTAAATGTTCCACTAAAGACAAATGATTTAACTTTAAGTAGCCTTGAACCCAAATAAATATGTATGGATTCAGGACCAAATAAATGTCTAGTCAGAATCAGAGGATGTGCCATCATGAGTGTCAGCCACTGACATGTTTGGTCTAGACTTGCAAGGTTTATGTTTGACTTTCCTTGTGTTTGAGTATTTGGCAAACACATTCATTTATTTTAAGAATTTTACTTTGGGGAAAAATATTTCTCACAGGTCATCTATCTAAATAAACAGAGGGGGAAAAAAAGAAAAATAATTCTTTTACTGGTTTCTTTGATCCAAATTTTCAGAATGGTAAGAGATTGGAGGATGTAATGTTTATGTACGGAATTTGAGTTTTTTTCCCCCCACAAGAACAAAGACAATAGTTTGTAGGGATTCCCTTATTTATCCTGAGATTTACAATAAAAAAAAAAATACACATCAACTAGAAATTGTTGTTTGAGATATAGCAAATATATGGACAGTCTCCCCAATCTCTCTCCTTTGTAGATGAGGAGGGATACAAAATCATAGTATTTTTTTTTTTTTCCTAGATACATGCTGCGCATTGGTAGGTAACACAGAATAGGAGTTTGAGAAAAAGCAACTGCCCTTTTGTCCCCGTTCTCAGAAAAGTCACTGTGATTTTCTGCCATTGCATTGAAGTGCAAAAGCTGTAGACTTTGCCAGAATATACGCCTGAAACCTCAAATAGCTGAATGCACATGTCATATCTCTGCTACCGGCGGAATTGTAGGCAGCCAACTGGCTCAGTGAAGTCTTCGGTGCTCAGAGGAAATGCACTGTGGTGGGATCTCCCCTGAAGCCCCTTTCTCTCTCCATACTGGAGATGCAGGCGTAGTAAGTCCAGAGCAAGCTTTCTTCTTGTTGCTGCTGTTGTTTTGTTTTAATTTTTTAATTTTCTTTTAATTGGAGGAAAATTGCTTTATAATGGTGTTGGTTTCTGCCGTGTAACAGGGCAAATCAGCCATAGTTAGACATGTATCACTGCACTCTTGTGCTTTCCTCCACTCCCCCCATGCCCAACTCTCTACGTCCTCAGAGAGCACCAGGCTGGCTCTGCGTTACAGAGCAGCTTCCCAGCGGCTGTCTGTGATCCACGTGGTTGTGTATATGGGCAATAGAATAAAAATAAACGGTGGTGTTACTTCAAACTAAAAAACTTCTGCACAGCAAACTACAAAAGACAGCCCACAAGATAGGAGAGAGTATTTGCAAACCATATATCCGACAAGAGGTTCATCTCCAATATAAAAGAGACTTCTATAGGTCAATACTGAAAAACAAAACAAAACAAAAAGACTAGCACAGGTTTAAAAATGGGCTAGAGACTTGAATAGACATCTCTCTGAGATGACATACAGATGGCTATTAAGTGCATAGAAAGGTGCTCAACATCACTAATCATCAGTGAAATGCAAATCAAAACCACAAGGTCACCTCACAGCTGTCAGGAACGAAGCAGAAGACAAGTGTTTGCGAGGATGCGGAGAAAAGGGAGTTCTTGTGCAGTGTTGGTGGAAACGGGCATCGGTGCAGCTACTATGGCAGACGGTGCGGTGGCTTTCGAGTTTAGGAGAGGCAGGGCTGGCGGGGAGATGGGCTGAGTCCCAGAGAAGAACAGCAGCAGGGAGCGCGGAGTCCAGGGAGGCGGTCTGGGGCAGCGGGGACCAGACCAGGAGGATCGGGCACCCAGGTGGAGGGCGGCAACCAGGACTCGGCGCCCAGGAGAGGAGCTTGACACCAGGCCCACGGTTCCCCAGGGGCAGAGCGCTTGTTTCCACGGTGACTGCGGACCACTGGTGAGAGACCCTGCGGAATAGATGGGCCCAGCAGGATCCTGGCTCGTGTGATCCACGTCTCCTACATGCTCAGCCTCTGAAGAGCAGGGACCAGAACTTTTTTGCTGCAGAAACCCCAGAGCCTGGTAGTCTGCACTTGGCAGGCACGCGCTGTTTGAGCGAAGCTGGACTGGCCTGGTCTCCCCCTGCCCTTGTCCCCAGGGTTTCCCCGCTGGAAAACCAAAGTCCCCGCTGACCTAAATCTCTCAGTCAAACGTNAAAACCAAAGTCCCCGCTGACCTAAATCTCTCAGTCAAACGTAGACACTGGGGGGATGAGACGGGAAAGGCTCGAGCGGCCTAGCAGGGTGGGCACCGGGGGTTTTCATGAGCAGGAGAAACACCCTCCCCTCTCCTGCTGGCTACCCGTGGGCCCGGCTCGCTGTCCCTGCCCCGATCAAGGATTTTAAACAGAGGGCGGCGACTGGGCAAGCCCCCTTCGCTCCAGCTTTTGTGAAGTTCCTACAAATCGACCTACTCTGCTTTCAGCTGTCTCCCTGAAACAGTCCATGGGGTGGCAAAGAGTCAGACTCGGCTGAGAGACTAACACTTTCATTGAGAAATTCATACACTTTTCACAGGTCTGCTTCCTCGTTCCGTTGGTTTCACGTGAGCAGGAGCTTGTAGGTCATGTTCTAACGTCCGGGGTGTTCGTCCCACCTCCTCTCTCCACCATGGAGAAACAGACTGATGAGCCAATCCACCAAAACCCCCGCAGTATCCTCTTCCGACATGCTAGCTTCGAATAAAAAGATGTGTATTTATTTATTTACGGCAGCACCAGGCCTTCGTTGCAGCACTGGGGCCAGCTGAGCTGTCTCATGGCATGTGTGATCTTCCCGGACCAGGAATCGAACCCGCGTCCCCTGCATGCCAGGCATGTTATTAATACCGCGGAACCGCCAGGGAAGTCCTGAATAAAACGACTTTGACAGGTCTACAAATCACGGAACTCTGTTGTGAGCTACTGAGAGAAAAATACAAATTAGATGTTTTTCATATGTTTTGACCCTCTCCTACCATCCTCTGGTGAAATGAGGTATTGCAAACCAATTTGTAAACATTTGGATCTTCTTTACTTGAACGTGGTTAATATGAATTGACTGAAAAGAACACAACTAATTTTATAAAAGATATGTTGTCTCATATTTCCTTTTATATTTCTTTTTTTATTAATAGAAACTGTTTCCATTTTTCTAATGGAGAAAAAAGATTTATCCTGAATAATGATATCAATTTCCTCTTTCATCATTCTCTAATATCCATTTACATTGTCTTATATTATTATTTGTCCTGAGTTTTTTATCTAAATATTTTCTCTCTTATTACTCTTTCTTCCTGTCTCCTGGTGGTTATGTGACTGTTTACTATTATCTTTGTTTGCATATTTTAAAAATGTTTGTAAAAAAAATCCACTTTCCATGATATAAGGTTGATAACTCTATTTCAAGGAGTTCAATGTTTGATTGATATAATCTGAATAATAGAAATCATGCACATATGAGCTATATTTTTTCATTCTATTGCATATCATAGCATTATTTATTAAAATACATCATATAAAAGTGTAATGGCGAATAGCCTGTAAGTGTACAAACTTCTGGAAAGTTAAAACACTTAAGCTACAGTGAAAGCATCTTCAACTGGATATGTGGACTAATTACTGATTTGTGTTTGAAATATATATATATATATTTGAAGTGAAGAAGTTTCACTTTCAAAAAGGCACTTTAACCAAGAGTTAAATTCATAGAGAAAGGTTCTGAAACCTGAAACATGGATTGGTGTGAATCTGAATCTGGAGACTTAAAATGGTGCATCAATTTCCCAGGGCTGCTGGAACAAATGATCACAGACTGAGTTGTCTCAAAACAACAGGAATGTGCTCTGGAGACCAGAGTCTGAAATCCAGGTCCCAGTGGGTTTGATTCCTCATAGAGGTTCTCAGGGGGGAATCGACTCCATGCAGCTTTCCTGGCTTCCGGCGGCTGCTGGCGGCGCTTGGGGCTCTTTGGCCTGGGACCACCCTCCGGCTTCTGCCTCGGTCTTCACACGGCTTCTCTCTCTGTGTGCCTCTGTCTCATTCTCTTGTCTTTTATAAGGATGCCCATCATCAGATTTACTGCCTTAATTTAGGATGATCTCATCTCTAGATCTTTACCTTGATTATACTTTAAAAGACTCTTAATCCAAACAAGATCATGTTGTGAAGTTCTTCTTGGACATGTGTTTTAGGGTCATCATTCAACCCACCATGGATGGAAATCAGCACCTGTATCTGCGGCCCTGAGGTCACACGTGGGGTCCTTCATTAGATCTCCTGCCTAAAGCATCGCCTTCCTCTGTCTGTTGCCAGTGGCCCTGGCTTTGGGGCTCCACTTCCAATGTTTCATGAAATGGAGCTCTGAGTATTATTAACTGGTGGGTTTGTTTGA